GATTGGACCCGTGAGATGCCTGCCCACAGCGCAGGCAGGGCCAGATTTGACCCATCTAATCTGGGTTGTCATGTTTGTGGACATACAGTGGTTCATAACATTCGTCTGTTTCCCTTTAATGGCTCAGATCTGTAGTGGTGATCCCTCTTTCCTGTCTGGGATCTGTGGTGGTGATCCCTCTTTCCTGTCTCTGGGATCTGTGGTGGTGATCCCTCTTTCCTGTCTCTGGGATCTGTGGTGGTGATCCATCTTTCCTGTCTCTGGGATCTGTGGTGGTGATCCATCTTTCCTGTCTCTGGGATCTGTGGTGGTGATCCCTCTTTCCTGTCTGGGATCTGTGGTGGTGATCCCTCTTTCCTGTGTCTGGGATCTGTAGTGGTGATCCCTCTTTCCTGTCTAGGATCTGTGGTGGTGATCCCTCTTTCCTGTCTCTGGGATCTGTGGTGGTGATCCCTCTTTCCTGTCTCTGGGATCTGTGGTGGTGATCCCTCTTTCCTGTCTCTGGGATCTGTGGTGGTGATCCATCTTTCCTGTCTCTGGGATCTGTGGTGGTGATCCATCTTTCCTGTCTCTGGGATCTGTGGTGGTGATCCCTTTTTCCTGTCTCTGGGATCTGTGGTGGTGATCCCTCTTTCCTGTCTCTGGGATCTGTAGTGGTGATCTCTCTTTCCTGTCTGTTATTAATTTTGTCTTCTTTTTCTTAGTTAACATTTCCTTTGCCTGTCATGTTGGCATTTCAAAAGTTTTGAATTTTGGAGCATTTTGGATTTTGGAGCTTTGGACTGGGGCTGCTAAACCTGTACTCAGGGCTCAGTCTGTCATCTCTGTGGCTACCCTTGAGCTGGGAGTGGGGAGTGGGCTCAGCAGAGTTGAGTCTCGCCATGTCGGTCTGCTCTGAAAACTGGCTGTTTTCCTGCAGTTGGTAGCTGGGTTCTGAGTTCCAAAAAAGTTCATTCTGATACCTTTTCCTATTTTTTGTAAGTTGATATTTATGGAGGGCTAGAATTTGGAGCTCTTTTCTCTGCCATTTTTGCTGACACCACTCCAAATACAGTTTTATTCTGGTTTATCAGATTGTTCCAAATTTTTTCTCTCATTATAATACACATGGGAATAAAGGAAGCAGTTTTATTCAGCATGGTTGGAAATGTAGTCAAAAAAGCTTTTTAGTGTCTTGCTTGGTTTCAGATTTACTTATGTTAAAGCTTTACAATGGTATTTGATTGGTCTAAAACATCACAGAAACGGATGAAAGAAAGGGAGTGAGTGTCTCCCCCATCCGTCATTCGTGCTGCAGACCAGGAGCGGCGGCAGCGTGCAGATGCGTGCAGATGGCGGCAGCGTGCAGATGCGTGCAGATGCATGCCTTCCTGATTTCTCAGGGCGCACGCTGACACACAGCGCCACTTCACGTAAGATTACTCTTCCTGCCGCACGCTACTCTCAGCATCTAGACAATGAGAACAGAGCATGCTTCGTACTGAAGTGGCACAAACACGAGGGTTGGTGACGGACACGCCCGCCGGTTGTCTCTCAATGTCCAGAATCATCGTGTCCTGGCATCAAAGCATGGTCATGGATTTTCTTACTTGAGATTGTCGACACTTTCTGTCCTTGATCATCTCAAGATGGAACGATCCCAGAGATTAGAGTTTGGGATGACGTGGGTCAGTGTCTGTATCACACAGAGGTGACAGTGGACGCCCACAGAGCTGTGCCGAGTGTGGGGCATCTGGGGAACCCTGGAAGGAACTGTTCTGACTGTGGTACGTCTGGGGGAGCCCCGGACATAGGGAAGCTGTGCTGAGTGTGGGGCATCTGGGGGAGCCCCAACTTTGGGACTCAGTTCCCCTGCTTTGTGCAGGCCTTGGGAGTGGGACTGGCCTCCTCAGTGGACCAGACGTCCACATATGAGCCACCTCACAAGGCTAGTGTTCCTGGTGGCTGCCCTTGGGTTTGTTTGCTGATACATTCTCGTATTTTGCTGTGACACCTTGTAACTGCCTTTGTTGGAAACAAGGTCCACTTTGAGCCCGCTCTCCTCGGTGTAGAGGGCCGCCATGGCAAGGTGGGTGTGTTCTGACAGCATGAAATATTTTCCCTCAATGGGAAAGTGGGCGTTTGGAACATTTAAGTTTCTTGATCACATGTATCTCCTTGGAGATATGGTAGGAAAAGGGTAAGTTGAAATTTAACCTGCTAAGACATAGCAGAACAGAATCTTCCAGAACTTTAATTTTTGAGCCAGTCCTAGTGGGATTGTGTGCATCGCCGAGGTGGTGTGTCACCCGGCTGTTGCTCACCGACTGTCCTGAGTGGGTCCCTCTTCAGCGTCATTCCAGTGGGAGCAGCAAGACCCACTGCCCCACAGTCACACCAAACTGCTCCCCTCAGAGACCTTGCAGGCAGCTTCCTTCTCGGGGTCTGCATGGGCTGGAGCGGACGGCTGGTTTGAGAGATGCTGATGAGTTTGCCTTTCCTTGCAGACCACACCACCCCAGAGCCAGGTGCACCGAGGCCTCAGCCAAGCAGAGCCTGGTCATGGACGCGGACGACGAGGCGGTCCTGAACCTCATTGCAGAGTGCGAGTGGGACCTCGGCAGGCCTCCCGCAAGCATGAGCTCCAGCCAGAAGGAGCGCGAGGCCTACTCTTGTGGTTCCCAAGGTGCGCTGCTCACCTGCCTGCCTGGAGGCCAGCGGGGCCACCGGCTGTGGGATGTAGTTGTCACTGGCTTGGAGGGCACAGTTGCACTTTTTATGGGACTTAGCTGTGAGGGTGGGATCTTCCTGATGTGTGTGTGCTTGCCAGTGCCAGCCATTGGCCTGCAGAGTTACAGAAGGAAAACGTTACTGTATTTGAGTATAGTCATAGTGCGCAATGATTTAATTGTATCCTTCTGAGATCACGGGAAGAGGCAAACTGCCTAAATAGTCCAGGAGCCGAGTGTCCTGTGGCTATGGGGGCTGACATCAGCGGCAGCCGCCGGGGGCATCACCTCTTAGCTTGTAGGAAACCCCGAGCACAGCTGCCATGTGTAGACATCCAGACCCCAACCCGGTGTCACGGGAACACAATTTGGGGCACGGAGGCTTCATGTGCATCACTGAGCAATGCCACCTTCCACTCGGGCGCGGAGGCCTCACGTGCATCACTGAGCAATGCCACCTTCCACTTGGGCACGGAGGCTTCACATGCATCACTGAGCAATGCCACCTTCCACTCGGGCACAAAGGGTTCACATGCATCACTGAGCAATGCCACCTTCCACTCGGGCGCGGAGGCTTCACATGCATCACTGAGCAATGCCACCTTCCACTCGGGCGCGGAGGCCTCACGTGCATCACTGAGCAATGCCACCTTCCACTCGGGCGCGGAGGCTTCACATGCATCACTGAGCAATGCCACCTTCCACTTGGGCACGGAGGCTTCACATGCATCGCTGAGCAATGCCACCTTCCATGGGGAGTGTTGATAGGCTTAGCTTCATTATTCCACCTCCATTGTGAGTTTCTGAGAACTTTTCATGAAAACAGCAGGTTGATACCTGAGTTTGGGCTGAAATCCTAGATTAATCTGGGCAAGGACGTCTGCCCTGTGGCAGCAGTGCCCAAGCCGCATGCATGCCAGCACTGGGCGCTGAGTCCTTCAATCCTATCTCTGGCGGGGCATTGTGGTGTTGTGTCTGTTTATGGCTGAAGACTGCCGCTGTGGAGATTCTGGCTGTGTGTGCCTCCTCCTTTCTCTTCAGGTCTGCCCAGCTTTGCCCTGGGGTTGCTTCTCTTAGTATTGAGTCCTAAGAGATCTCGGTGTTTTGATACAAGCCCCGTCTCAGGCACAAGTGCTGTCAGTTTCCTCCCTTCTGTGGTTTGCCTTTTCATTTTCCAAGCAGTGCTTTGAAAAGCACAAGTTTCAACTTCAATACAGTCTAGTTTATGAAGAGTTTTTTTTTTTTTTTTTTTTTTTTTTGTTTGAGATGGTGTCTTGCTCTGTCCCCCAGGCTGGAGTGCAGTGGCACGATGTCGGCTCACTGCAGCCTCCGCCTCCCAAGTTCAAGCAATTCTCTGGCCTCAGCCTCCTGAGTAGCTGGGATTACAGGAGCCCACGCCCAGCTAATTTTTGTATTTTTAGTAGAGACAGGATTTCGCCATGTTGGCCAAGCTGGTCTTGAACTCCTGACCTCAGGCGGTCTGCCCGCCTCAGCCTCCCAAAGTGCTGGGATTGCAGGCGTGAGCCGCCGCGCCCGGCCAGAGAACACAAGTTTTAATTTCAGTCCAGTCCAGCTCATGAGGTCTTTCCTTTGATGGTCTGGGCTTTTGTGTGTCTGTAAAGAATCTTTGTCCACCCCATGCTCGTGGAGATTTTCTCCCGTGTTTTGTTACAGATGTCCCATAGTCTTAGTGTCTAGCTGTACAATTCACTTTTGGGGGTTAGTTTTTGTGTGTGTTGTGAGTTAACAGGTCAGGACATCCCCCTACATGTACAGCTGACCCTTTGTATCCGTTGGTTTTGAATCTCTGGATTCAACCAACCATGGATGGAAACTATTTGGAAAAATTACAGAAATCTGCCACCCCCCCAATATAGCAATTAAAAAATAATCCAGTATAACTATTTACACAACATTTATTTGTTTTGTATTTTTGTAGAGATGGAGTCTTGCTATGTCACCCAGCCTGGATTCAAACTTGTAGACTCAGGCGATCCTCCTGTCTCAGCCTCCTCGGGATCCTGGACTGCAGGCATGTGCCGCTGTGGCCGGCTACGGCAGCGTTTGTGTCACGTTACCTGTCCTAAGGAGGGAGGGCCAGCTGCGGCAGCGTTTGTGCCGCGTCACCTGTCCTAAGTAGGGAGGGCTGGCGTTTGTGCCGCATTACCTGTCCTAAGTAGGGAGGGCCGGCGTTTGTGCCGCGTTACCTG